TCCTTCCTACATTATTCTCTTCATCATATATTTTATTACTTCTTTGTTTACCTCTAGTCTCTTTCCTTTCAATTTTAGCTTCATTTCCATCCGTATCTTTATAAGTGCGTCTTGCGTAGTTTCTTCTCACTTCAGTCTTAGCACCGTAAATATCCTCATGTTTTGTTTTGTTTTCATCTGCTTTCCTTTTTACGGGTTCCATGTTATTTAGTTGATTAATGTTATTTGGTTTCTTTATCACATTTTCTGATTCTTTCCAGTTGGTTTTAATGGAGCCTCTAACTATATCATCCTTACTGTTTGTGTGGTTTCTTCCTGATGACCTTGCTGGGCCTCTTAAAGTGGCATTTCCTCTTTCGAGAGCAGTTTTTCCATGATCATTTTTAGTCATATTTACGTGGTGTTCAGCGGTTATTGATTTCAACCTTCTTTCCTTTAAATGACTTTCAACAGTCATACCCTCATTGGCTTCCTTTTTCTGTATTACGACAGTACCTTTGCCCTCAATCCCTTTATCTCCGCGAGGAGCTTGATCTTTCGGCGACTTATCAGTACCTTGTTTTTTCTGTTGAAGATCTTCTCTCGTAATTGTTAAATTCTTTTCCGGTTTTATCTTTTTAGTTTTTTTCCTTTCGTTCTCTGTATGACCTTCAGTTATATCCGCTCTTAGTGTATCATGTACCTCTTTCTCTTCTCCCTGTTCTAACATCTCCTTCCCAGTATGTTCTTTGTTTTCTTTCAAATGAAACTTACCTCTTGCTGGCAATCCATTTCCTTCCTTGTGATTTTTTTCTTTTTCTTGCCGGGTAGTTTTTCGTTGTACCACCAAGCCTGTGTCATCATTGACTCTTTTCATTACTTTTCTCTCTTTAGCATCTTTCTTCACAGCCATATTGTCGTCTGTTTTTTTCCACTTCTTGTCTCCTATATTTTGAATTTCGATTCCTACAATTTCTTCAATCTGTTTTCTTGTTTCTACATAGTCCCTATTGTTTTGCTCCTCTTTCACCATCAGTTCATTTTGGTTTTGTTGAATGGGATTCAATATTTTATTTGAGTTGTCCTTGTTAATTTCAATGTTTCCAGGTTGATGTTTGGCCTCATTCAAGGACCCACCTTCACTTCTGCTGCCAGTTTGCGTATCCAAATGAATCAGTGCATCCCTTCCGTGATCCTTACCCAGGCCTTCAGGAGACGAAATTTGCGCTTTCTGCAAACACAATATTTACGACACCGTTAATGACTCACTTTTCCGGATATAGTATTTTTAAGAGAGCAGCGTAGCCAAACAAGTACAGCGCTGGCCTTGCAATCCGGAGTCCCCGAGTTCAAGTCCTGCCCTGATCGCTAGCAGGATTTGCTCACAGTGGTCCCGAGCTCAAATCCTCGGTCACGCTTCTAAATAGCCAACTGGTTCGCCTCCTACCAGTTGGGACTCTTAACCTTGTTATTTTCCCTGAAAAGTCCCACGTGATAAGGGAAGAGGATAATTAATAGAAATATCAATCATCAGTTTAATATAAGCGATAATTTGAAAGACAAAAGTCCTCATGTGCTCCCACTTTTATTTGTCATCTTTTATAGTTCATATAGATTCACTTACATGTTTCTAAGGAGATGTCATCTTCTTTGTTTTCCGTCTTTATCTTTCCTTTTCGTAAGTTTTTGAATAAAGAAAGTGATTAAGCAGAAGTAAAATAAACAACAAGCGAGGCTTATTTACATGCGTGTTTCTACATTTGGCGCCAGCTACAATTCATTTAATTGACTGATCAAAGAAATTTAGGGATGTTCTACAGCTCCGTCTTTTACAGCAGGTTGGAATTTCATGAAGACTGTGCGAGCAATGATGGTTAAGATCACTGGCGTAGTTAAAGTGCACTACAGAAAAATCAAGAGAGGATAAAAGGGATAGAGAAGACATCCCTCATGCACACCCTATTCCATAGGTAATTCGTCTCGAGTTATTTTTAGAATCGGGATAAAGTCAACTCGCGCGCTGCGTGGATGTTTCGTGGAGGTTTCGCATGACTAAACGCCGTGCAAAACATGTCGGGCGAAAGGCAATGAAAGCGTAAAGATATCGAGAGCATTTCTGAATATTGAAGCGAAATGAGTCGGCGCTCATCTGGGAAAAGGGAATCGCTGGACTCTTTGACAATCAGTTTAACTCGAAGTTGTCGTAACCTCAGCGGTGTTTTAATGAAATGAGAAATTTCGCCGGTCTATTGAAACCGGTCACTTGTACAATAAAGCAAGTAGGACGCCAAGTGTTATTTTTGTTGAATAATAAAAGACTAACAAAAGAATAAATATCAAACCAAAAATTGCTCTCTTCAAACTGTAAATTATAAATGATCCTGAGAGAATATTCAGTGTGTTAAGGATTTCCCTGCAGTACTGTTAGCTCTATACAAGAGAGGAAGGGCGATTCTTTTTTAATTTCCATTTCGCTAACACCGCTTTNCGCTGCGTGGATGTTTCGTGGAGGTTTCGCATGACTAAACGCCGTGCAAAACATGTCGGGCGAAAGGCAATGAAAGCGTAAAGATATCGAGAGCATTTCTGAATATTGAAGCGAAATGAGTCGGCGCTCATCTGGGAAAAGGGAATCGCTGGACTCTTTGACAATCAGTTTAACTCGAAGTTGTCGTAACCTCAGCGGTGTTTTAATGAAATGAGAAATTTCGCCGGTCTATTGAAACCGGTCACTTGTACAATAAAGCAAGTAGGACGCCAAGTGTTATTTTTGTTGAATAATAAAAGACTAATAAAAGAATAAATATCAAACCAAAAATTGCTCTCTTCAAACTGTAAATTATAAATGATCCTGAGAGAATATTCAGTGTGTTAAGGATTTCCCTGCAGTACTGTTAGCTCTATACAAGAGAGGAAGGGCGATTCTTTTTTAATTTCCATTTCGCTAACACCGCTTTAGTAGAAATCTCTCTTTAGTTGTTTTCGTCGACAAAACGAATAGCAATATCGCTGTCCGCGTCTTCCGCCATTTTGTTCGGCGTCAATTCGTGAAGGACGCGTGGCTCTTAGCGTGGGTCATCCACGCGGAACACATTCGCGCTATGTGATTGGTTGTTGTCTAATCCCCCTTGGGATCTGTGGTCTTAAAAATAACTCGAGACGAATTACCTATGAAATAGGGGGTGTATGGGGGATGCTTTCTCTGTCCCCTTTATCCTCTCTTGAGAAAAATAAATAATGTTTTCCAGACAAATAAATGGTGTAGCCATTCTCCTCAGTGTCTCTGAATAGTTATAAGACAAAAAGATAACCCTTGTTTATCTCATTAAGGTTGATCCTTCATGCGAGTCAATCAGTTGCAATAGACCGACTACTCACTTTAATTTCATGAAAACGGTCCTTATTAGGCTCCATTGTCGGCGGATGATACGATACATTTCTTTCCATATTAGGCAAACCTAGGGCAAAACACAACAATAACAACAATAAAACAGGCTTGTATTGGTGATAAATAAATAATATAACTATCGGAATGACAGTGATTTTAAACCCGGAAAACGGTATAAGCCCTTAGTGAGATAGCCTCCCACGCAGACGTTCTTAGGGGTTCGTTAAGCGTTCAGTGGGGCAGGAACGCGTGACAAATCCCAAAGAACGTCCGCGGGGGAGACTATCAGTGAGTTATCGGGATAAGGTGTTCCAAGAGATCATCGGTCAATTGACATTGGTCAATTGCTCGTACCCTCTCTCGCTTGGGTTATCGCTCCTCATCAATGTTTTTCCAGGCAAAGTTTTGTGTTTATTACTATACAACTTCTAAAAAACCACGTAAAATGCTTTTTATCATTCTGTCAGAACCAAAAACCTGTACTTGGTTACTAAAACGAGGCGATACGACTCACGACGACCCACGCTAATCAACACAACAACTGAAAATGACCAACAACATGTGAAAAAAATGATAAAGTTATTGTACTTAGCTGGAACAGTGATGAAATGTTTTAATTCGAATACTGTTTTAAATAAAATGATTTTTTTCTGATTAAAATTAATCTTTTTTAAATAATCGAAAGGAATTGTAAATCTGAATAGTTTTTTAAGCGGATTAATTCTAAATAGGATTTTTTTTAGTTAGCATAGGTATCAATAAAATTATTATTGTTATAATTTATCTGGATTTGAAAAAAACACCACGGTAATCAAAAGAATCCAGTGTACTAATTTAACAAAGTTAATCTGATTTTTTTTCCCTGTAGGGTTACTACAGACGCCTGCATGGAAGGCTGGAAACATACTAGCCTCGTGACCTCCCAATTTAAGGCCAAAGAACATGTGTTAGAATCCTCCAAAGCATATACTCGTTAATAGCCCTCGTTATAAAGAAAAGGTTGCTAACAAATTAGATTTTACCTAGATATCAGTGAGATACTCTGTAGTTAGGGCCTAGCTATAAAGGGATGAGACTAAGTAGTGTTGGTCCATCAACACCTTTTCAACTGTCAGAAGAAAAACAAAAAAATTATTTACGCAAATGTTCACTTTTATTTTTGTTTAAAAGGGGTCCATTCTGTCAGGGGGGTGTCCAGGGGTTTTCCGGGAATTTCCGAGGGTGCTCCAGGGTGTTCCAGGCCTGTTCCCAGTTTTACAGGGTCAGGGTCAGGAGATTGGTTGGTTGTGTGAGGTAAGGGACTGACCGCCTTTCCCAAACTTATCCCCTCCGCAGCCCACTCAAAATATGCAACTACATTTCAGTGTTACTGGCCGAGATTACAGAGGACCTTTCAAAGCAGCAGTGAATCCGATGGTTCTTCTACACGAAGACAGAATTCATCGTGTTCTCTGTTACACTAGCCTTGCATTACCAGGATATTATTGTTTTCAATAGCATACCCATGATGTTAAATGAATCGCCATGTAATGCGATAAGAACAAAGATATGCGTTTCGAAAGAATTTACAATTCGATAAATGCTTGATGCAAGCAGCGAAACTCGCAGAAGAATTACCATTCCAATTGTTATCCAAACTGATCTACAGCGACCACATCACAATAAAGACCTTTTCTTTATGGAGTTGTCAGTATTACAATACAAACTTACGGTTATATATCAGAATATAGAATAAATGTTTTCAAAATGTGTCTTTAGTGATAGATTACTGATTTCGACGCTGAATGACTCAATTTACAAGGTTTAGATTCAAAACATAGAAGGAAGACATGACCTCAATCCCATCATGGCATGGTATTGGTGGTCAGAGAAAGCACTTTAAAAAGAGCCTCACCTGTAATTTTCAGCCTGTTTTTGTATTTTACAGCTTCAAGTGCACAGAGCAATGCTGTAGCTATCAGAACAGCAAATCGAACACAACAACGTCGACATCGGTACATTCGTTTGATTCTCCTGAAGACAGTCATCGTTGCACAATCTTGAAGACGTCACGCAAGCTATCGAATCTCCTTTTGATCTCCATACTCTAAAATGACTTTGACACAATATGATTCATACACAAAGTAATTATTAACAAAGGAAGAAACTGCATTGACTATCAATACTGATTAGGGTTAATCCCTGAGAACAGTGATTCCGAGCGTAGAGAATTTATAATCTCATCGCGCAGCCTGTTAACCGCGAGTGATCTAGGCCAGCTGCATAATTCGATGCCCAATAAATAACTAAACTAGAAATACGTAAATCGCAGGACCTTGCTAAGGCCTTTGGGGGAACGGCAAGATAAGGCAATAGAAAAGAAAATTTGTAAATTCTAAAAAAATCAAGCTATATAAAGAAACAAGACAAAACTGTAATCACTAAAAAGAATACTAAACGAAAACAAACAGAAAAAAAGAAAAGATAAAAAGCGAAAATAAAAAGGTTCTGCCCGTAATCGATCTCAGGACCTTCGACGGGCCTGGCCATATCGTTACCCCAAGGCCACATGGAACACGCAGAGGTAAATTGACGAAAATAAATTATTAAAAACCCTTTCCCCTAGAACTTCCGCCAGCTCGACCTGTATAAAGTTGATCGCGCCCTATTAAACATGAATTCAAAGATATATTTATGACTGTTCTTTGGAGAGTGGAAACCAACGTAAACAGGGGCAGATCCAGGATTTTTTTTAGGAGCAGGTGCACTCGTCTCTTGCTCTACTTCTTTTTTTTTTGCAGGATACCAGTTGTATTAGAAAACCGCAGGTCATCTCAGGGAGGGTGCGCACCCCCTGCACCCTCCCCCTAGATCCGCCTCTGGTAAAGGCATTTCATACGGCAGCCCAACTAAGCCGATACGGTATAAACGCGTATGCGAGCAAAACGTGTTTTGTTACCGCGATTTTCGCTCATATCTTAAGGCTAATTATCCAAAATTGCTTCCCTTTGCTCTTAAAAGTACTTTAGCATTCGGAATTCATTGAATGGTGTTGTCTCTGCTCCGCTGTTTGTTGCTACCGTCTCCTTCGTTACTCGCGCACTTGAATTTCAAGTCGGGGTTCTCTCTCTAGAGGATTTTTCGGTGTCAAATCTTCCCCTGCGAGGAGTTACAGCCGGTTGTTGAATTCGGTGTTCTTGTGTTTGCCGTTCTGTTCCATTTGTATGAGAAATCGCTTGAGATAGACCGATGGAAATCACTGTTTCTCAGACGGTGAATAAACAAGTACAGTCAGCTCTTCATGAATACCTTGGTCATTGATAGAAATCGCTTTCAGTCAAATGTTTCCTGGAAACAAAAAATGCGCCGTGACGTCAAACTACTGTATGACGTGTATAACGTCACGGCAGACACCATCGGATATATACAAGAATGAATGATTTTGCAGTAATCGGAGACCCATGTTATGCGCACAGGATTCAGGGATCGCCAAGGGGCAAACATTATGAGTCGCTATAAAGAGATGTACGGCGTAAAGTAGTTTCTGCGTTTAAAGCAGTGCCTTTGGACATAGAAAAACGCATTTTCGTCGTGATTTGTGAGAAGCGGAGGTGACTGATGTTGTTGCGTTGAAATTTTAAGTTTTTGTGTGATTAAGGCGACAAATTTTGTCGATAAATTACACTCCTTCTTGGATGAAGGAACGGTCTCGAAATATACAGTACAAATTTTGGTATAAACGTTGGGATACTGGCTAATTTAAGCTTTTTAGTTGTAATTACGTAAGGTGATATTTTCAACGAGTGTTACTACGCTCGGCCGCGATCAGCGCTGTGCGGCCGTCGTAACAAGACAACAATCGAAGGTATGTACGTGGCCATAAAAACAAACAAACAAACAAAGTAATATTTACGGAAATAATTCATGGAAAGTACATGGTATTCATGCATGTGTAGATGAGGCAGAAATCGATCACTGATTCACCTCCAGTTCATCCGAGCGAGCGACGCCAAACTCGCGTAGGTTGCGAGCAAAATGCTTTCCCGGTTTACTGTCGTAACAAACTAAGAAATTTCACAACTAATCAAGCAAGCTATTTCCGAAATACATGAAGAAGGTGACGACGTTCGGTTTGGAAGTTTTAACAGGTAAAGCTTTGTCTTTTTGACTTGAATAGTTATCGATAAAACCGGTGAAAAAGTTTTTTGTTTACAAATGCAAATTAAGCTTAAGTCTTGCGTTACCTTATTTAGTTGACTTGTTCATAAATAAGCTTAAAACTAAATTTAATAAACTTTTTTACAGAATTATTTTAAATACAAGCAGAATTCACAACTCCTTTTGAAGAAACTTCCCCGCAAGAGCTAAACAAACGCCTTCAAAAGTTTTATTTGTCGCTAAGAAAAAGCGACGACCGCGGCCGTTCGGTCATCGCGCGCCAAAATTGTAATCGCTGGCAAGAGTAAATGAGTTAAAAATCATCATTTTGTGCTCAATTATCTCACTGTTTTAGTATATACTAAAACAATTATTCACCTCAGTGTCGGTGGCTAGTATTGGATATTTACCTCGCCGCTTCGCGGCCTCGGTAAATATCCAATACTAGCCACCTCCACTTCGGTGAATAATTGTTATTTATTCAGTTAGCTTCAGTTTGAGTTATGTTATACACGTTCACATCAGCTACGCTGTAAACTTATCGTGTTTAAACAAAAGATGTTGTTGTTCATTCTGCTTCGCGGTTGTCTTCTTCGATCCGCTCGCCGCTGAATTTTAATCGGCGTTCTCCAGAGGAGTTTCAATTGAAAATCTTCCTCGGCGAGGATTTGCAGCCACTTGCTGTGCTTGCAGTTCCGCCTCATTTGCATAGGAAATTGCACGTGATTCGCCGATCGTAAACATTGTTTCACAGACGATGAATAAACACATCAGCCTTTCATGACTGAATAAAACATGAAAATGCGCCCTGGTCATCGGCGGCAAAGTCTACGTTGCCTGGAAACGCAGAATGCTCCATGACGTGAAGCTACATGACGTCATTGGAGGACACGGAGCATATATTCATAGAAAGATTTACTTTTTTATTTATGGGGCATCGAATTTTGCAGCTGGCTAAGACCACGCGCGGTTAGCAGGCTGCGCGCGCTTCGCGCGCAACGAGATTATAAACTCTCTATGCTCAGTATTATATGCTGTTTACCATTCGACAGCTAACGGTCAACCTGAAAACGTGGCTCTCTGCGATTACATTCGTATGAATTTGGACCAACCATTATTTCACCAACCGAATTCGCTGGTTATCGCTGTAGGAGATTTTAATTCCACTTCAACGGGCCTCAGGCTGAATGACTTGACGCGGCCGAATAATGTCAAGCAATTGGTGAACTTTAAGACAAGGGACTCGGCCACGTTAGACTGGTTTCTTACGAGCAAACCTAAGCTCTTTCAAATTTCTCAACTTCCAATTTTAGCTACCACTGATCATTACATGATTTTGGAGCAACCGACTTTAACTACAAGTACTCCTTCTCAGAGTCGTAAAGTGAAGGTTAGAGACCTCAGGGACAGCGCATGGCGCACTTTCGTTCGTTGGCTAACAATGAAAGACTGGTTGCAGGTCCGTCAATAACACTTTGTGTCGGGAAAAATTCTACACGTGTATTACGGAAGTTCAGGACGCAGTTGACACATTTCTGCCATTTAAATCTATCCGTGTACACCAACTGACAGACCTTGGACTACAAAAAAAATCAAAATGCTCATTAAGAGACGCCAAGCTGTCTTTGTTCGTGATGGAAAAGGTTCCGTTACCTACAAACTTTTAAGGAACAGTGTCCAGCGTAAGATCAAGTTGGCCAAGTATCACTTCTATTACCACAAAGTCGCATACCTTGAAAAAACGGACGTAAAAAATAGTGGAGGCAAATTAAATCTCTAACCGGTCAAGACATACAACATGAAAGGTTTCACCAGTTTCTTGATGAGAGCAGTGGAGATTTAAAGTCCCTAGCCAACAAGTTGAATAACAACTTTGTTAGTCTGACGGATGGTTTCGAGGCCCTAAAGTACTCCGAGCCAACCATCCAACCTGTTCCTCCTGACCTCCTGGTATCATTAAGTGAAGTTCGGACACCCCTATCTAGTTTAAACACTAGTACGGTTGTTGGTCCTGACATGATTCCTAACAGGTTGGTTAAGGAATTTGCACCAGAATTGGCCCCAGTCATCATGGATATTTACAATTGGTCATTAGTGGAAGGATATCAACTGGCCTACTTAAAAGTTCCTTCGTAACCCACTACCTAAAGTCTCCTCTCTTTAAGAAATTAAATTCTATCTGACACCCATCGCTCTGACATGCACTATCGCTAAGGCTATGGAGGGATTCATGAGAAGTAGCCTTATTACTCAAGTAGCAGAGAACATTGACCCCCGTCAATGCGCCAGGGAAGGTCATTCTATCGTTGATGCCCTAATCTACCTCTTACAGTCTATTCATGAAGCAACAGACACGGGGGAATGTTCCGCGAGGATATTTTTTGCCGACCTCTCAAAGGGGTTTGATCTCATTGATCATAACATCCTCTTGAAGGAACTATCAAGCCTTAATATTGATCCCGTGCTGGTTGACTGGATAAAGGCATTCTTCACCGATAGAAGGCAGGCCGTAAGAATGGGAAATTTTTTGTCTGATTGGAAATTCCTTTAACATCTAACATCAGGGGAAAAAACATGGTGTACGGTAATTACTAACATGGTTTACGGTAATTACTAACAACCCACTGAAGGATTGGAAATTAAGATTTAAATTTGTCGATGACACCACAGCTCTCGAAATCTTGCCCAGGAACGGTTCCAGTCTACTCAATCTAGTTGCTAATGACATTTACAATTTTTCTAGTGACCACAATATGAGTTTAAACCCTAAAAACCTCAAAGAAATGTTAGTTAATCTCATGCATAATCATAACTTTGTGTTATCACCCATAATTCTTGACAATAACGTTGTGGATCGCGTCCTTTATATATAAACTCCTCGGAGTGTATATCAGTAACGATCTAAGGTGGAACTATCAGATCGATTATATTTTTAAGAAGGCCTCAAAGCGCCTACTCTCATTGCGATTATTGAGATAAGCGGGAGTACACAGTAAACTAACCCTTAAGGTCTACTTAACCACCATAAGACCTATTTTCGAATATGGTGCTCAGAGTTGTCAGGACCATTCCCGCTTTCCCTTCCGATAAGCTTGAATCAAGTTCAGAGAAGAGCCCTGTCTATCATATATCCATCTCTTAGCTATGCAGTCGCCCTTACTTCGACCCAATAGTACAAGCCTAGCAATGAGGAGGAGTCAGTTATGTATGAAATACATACAGACGTTAGGCAATATTAGTCACCCAAATCACTTTTTACAACCTAGTAGCAGAGGTCACACTCATGACTACAAGCTCAGGACAAGGATGACCAGTAGTACAAAGACATTTAACAACAGAGACATGTGCCGTACGAAGCGTTCTAGCTCATTTATTACCTTCGGGATCACGCGTACAGTGTGTAAATGCTAAAAGTAGTAGTTAATGTATAGCATTGTTAAATAGGGTAAATTTTTGGAAAGTTGTATTTTATTCCTGTAATTCAGTTTTTTTAACTGCAATCGTGATCAATAGACAGTTTATTATTATTATTATTATTATTATTATTCATTGCCAAGTCACTTCAACCTGTAATCAATGTTCACTCCTCACTCTATGCAGATGTTAATGGTTTTCTGAATCCCTCAATAATAACTGGTGAAAATTATCGTCCAGATCTTCTTTTCCTAATCCAGTCCAAGTGCCTATGTGTTCTAGAATTAACAGTTGGTTTCGAGTCTAACCTTAACAACAATACAGTGCGTAAGAAAGAAAAATATCTGAACTTGATCAACGAAATGAGTAGAAATTACAGATGTGTGAGATTTGTAAATCTGTCCATGAGTTCCCTTGGCGTTTTCTCCGATGAATGCTCCACGTTCTTAGACATGATGAATGACATTGGTATTGACAAAAAGCAGCAACGTTATATAATCAAGAAAATGATAAATATAGCCATTAGAGCAACATATTACATCTTTTGTTGAAGAAATAGGAACTGGTATAGCCCAGACTTAATACAATTTTGATTTTTTTTTTTAGCTTTTGTTTTGTTTTGTTTTGTTTTTGTTTTTTGTTGTTGTTGTTGTTTTTTTAATAATCCAATCTCAAGCAGCATTTGTAAATTGCCTATACGTAGCGAGATTTACAATTGTACATTCAAAAACACAAATAAAGTTTCCATTATTATTATTATTACCTGATAACTTCCGTATTCAGTACTAATTTGGTAAAAATTTAATTACAAGTAATGAAAGTTGAATTTTTATAAGGGAAACAACGACATGTCTTCCTTAAGGTGGACAATTTCGACAAAAAAAGCAACGACGTTGTACAATTGTGTCTGGTGGAACCACGTCAGTTCAATGACTTGAAACTGTTATAAAAATAATACAGTCACAAGGAGAAATTTAAATAAACGAGTTTTAAAACAGAAAATGAATGATACAAAATATTCTTGACGTTTCGATGGCTTCATGTCATCATTATCAATAGCTAAGAAATTAAAATGATTCCTGATATACATAAAGACAAAGAAAGTGCGGAAGGCGTGCATTGAAGTTGAAGCGTGTAAATGGAAAATGACTGGAATTAAATAAAGAGTCTCGAAAGGATGAAGTCCGATTGAGTATTGAGTTAGGTCCGCTTTCCTTTTTCCCTCTTTCAAATATCAGACACTCAAGTTTCCCTCCGCATTTCTTGAGGATTTTAAAGTTTGCGTCAAAGTTCGCACTTTGTTTTTTATATCAGCGAATCATGTTCAGCTAGGAAAACGTTAATTGTGATTTGTGCCACATTACCAAGTACTTTAAAAAAAGTTTTAAGTCAATTTCATTTATATCATTATCTTTTAAAGTTTTCAACCTCAACATAAATGTGTTTTTAAATCTCTTTTTTGTGTTTCAAAAATATCACCTTGAACATCAACCTTTCCCTTGATGGAACAGAAGGCCGCTCGTGTAACAGAAGGGATACGTCTTAAGTTTTAAAGAAATATGAAAAGAATTCCCTGTGACAGTGCTCTTTAAATGAAGTTATTTACAATTATGCAGGAAATTTTCCCTGAGTTGGCCTGGTGATCAAAAAGCCCTCAGATTACAACAGTGTTATAAGTTTTAAACCCAAATAATTCGGCAAAACTTTTGACTATACAATATTGAACTGTTTTCTGTACATCTCTTACGGAGAGTCAGGGTATAGTTAAGGTGCTTTGTAGGTTTTTTTTACATGTATAATTAAAAGTTTTAAATAAAGTTGTTGTTGTTGTTGTTGTTCTATAAAAATCCTCATTTTATGAGCTGTTCTGTCCTGAGTTGGCGGCCACCGAAGTTAACTAACCAGGCCTCAAACGGGTCTTCAAAACGATATTCTTTTACTAAAATCAACGTTCAATGCAGGCCTACTTTCGGCAAGAGTATCTATTTATGATCAAGTAGCTGCAGCCTCCATAGTTGTTTCCTTGAATAAGTGAGGCCCCAAGGCCGGAAGGACAGTTAAGCTTTAACGGTATGTTCCTGTGAAGTCTACCTGTGAGTTTAACACCTGACTCCTAGACAATGACATCACCACCTCACTTGATTCTCGAAGTCGCAAAATGATTGCAAAAGCCCGTTTAAACTGCGGGTTCATTAAGCCATATATGAAAGGATTGGTCATGTTGCTGCAATATACCAGAACATATGAGATAAGGTAAGCCAATCGAGGGCTTTCTTTCCCAAACGCTTCCATAAAACCAATGACAGAGATAGGAGTCCAGCACAACATATAAACACAGACCACCGTTAATGAAGTCTTCAAGACTGCGACTTCTGATTTGTCTTCAAGTGCTTTTCCATAATTGGCTAACGTTGAATGACCCTGGACCCTGCGGGAGCTAGCTCTTACTGTCCTGTAGATCATGAAGTAGCAGCTGAATATAATGGTTGCGGGGATGAAGATCGTTGTGATGCACAAGAAAAGGATGTAGGAAATATCTTTGCTTTTCCATTCGCAGGTGCAATCTGTGAAAAATACGTGGTATGTAATATTTCCCCAGCCGTATAACTGCGGCGTATTCACGAGAACCGAAAGGAACCAACATAACGCAATGACGATATATGTAGTTTTCTTGTTGGAGAAGAACCGTGTGTATAATTGACGCTTAACAACCTTAAAGTAGCGATTGATGGCAATGACCGTCATGGTTAACAATGACACGATGCCAAATATGAGCTGCGTAACACCTACCATCTCGCAAATCACGTGACCAAGAACCCATTTCCCATAACGAAGACTAATGATCCAAAATGGCATGTGGAAGACTGCCATCAAAATGTCACTATACGCCAGGCTTTCAATTAGCATGTTTGTTATGGTGTGGAGTCTAGAATCAGTGTGAATGGCGTACACAACAAGCAAGTTTCCCAAAAAGCTGAGTAGGCAGATTGAGGTAGAAATGAAGACTTCTAAGCCGATTTGGACGTTTCCTCTTCCAAGAGGATCGCCAATGGAGCTGTTTCCAGTTGGAACGGTTGTCATTTCACTGAAGAGGAATGCAAAAACATACTGTATTAGGTTCATCTCTGTGTGAACAGTTGTCGAATTAATTACCATACCTTTTATTTATACGCCAATCAGTGTCAAAAATACTGGAATACTTTAATTCCACTAAAGGGGATCTCTGAAGGATGTGTTATGTTGAGATTCAAATTTTACCTCGCTGAAATGAAAACTGCATAAATTGATTTTACGCACTTCAACGGAGCCGAGATAACGGTTTAACGGACTAACGGATCAAGAATGTTTTTAAATTGGGCTGCACGAAAGGCACAAATATGAGAAAGCCAGTGTTTGTTGTCGTCGTCGTCGTTGTTGTTGTTGTTGTTGTGACGCCGCAACACTCTGTGCAAGAGCAGAGCCTACTTTTGTCTTCTTAAGTAAGGAGGAGAACAGAAGGCTCTGCCTCAGGTCACCGCCGCCCAAACGTCTGGACCAATCAATCTTGTTTTCTCTCGCCAAACTGTTGTTTTTCAAGGGAGAGCATCCATTCATCGATGAACTGATTGTAATAATCGAGCCCGCTGTAGAAAGCGCACAGCTATTAGGCCTGGATTCGAAACTACATCGTAGCAGCATGACGCACATTCTCAACAGAGATCTTACTCGATTCATGCAGAGTCTACCTAGAGTACGCAAAAATCGAGCACGTGATTGATTACTGTAGTGACGTTCCTTTACTTATGTTAGTGAATTGCATATTGTGGGAAATAAAGACTGAGTATTTTAACGCTTGTTGATCCATTTTTTGGGACACCAGTTCACGATTATGTTATATGCATGTTAATGAGATCGCTTTTTTGATTGGCTGTGTTTTAGCAAAATGTCACTTTGATAAACTGATTTCTTTACGTTGTTACTTGGATTAAAGTTTTTTAAAGCAATTAATGAGATGTTAATTAATGCTTTCGGATGAACTCTTAAATCATTATTTACACACTTTGTCTTGGTCTTCTATCTGTACAACGAACAATCTACTGAATACCGCGGTGAACCGCAAAAGATTCCTACCTAAAAAGGTTTCTTTTATTCTTTCTTTTTGTGGTTCTAAGCATATTTCTGAGAGGGTTAAGGTCGCCTAGAAATAACCACCTGCTATTGTTATTGACACTGAGTTTCAGGTATTACATTTCTAGGTGTGATAAATTTATGTCTGTTGGCCTGTAATATTTGTTTACAATGGAAATGAAGAAGGTCATCCTAAATGTCTAAAGTAATCATAGCAGCCTTTTACTCAATATTCAGAAGAGATAGCGTCCAGCAGTGTTATCTTCACAAAACGGACGGTTTCTTTGGAATCTGTTTGAAGGCGCTTAGTTGCCGAACGCATTTGTAAGAAACTATATCATGGTAAAATATAAAATAAAAAAGCGTGAGACATCGCAAATTTAATATCTGTTATTGTCTTATTCAAGTACTGCTACAACTGCGTAGACAAAACCGTTCATACTGTAGGTTTTGGCATGAATAGCTACATTCTTGGGCATCCATGGGGAAGTAAGTGCTTAAAGTTTCTATCCTATATCGTCAATTTTGGAAACATAAATGAAATATTTTGCACACCCTATACAGCTTAGGCCTTGCACTGAAGACGTCACCATTACGAACTCTGATTCTGAAGAACCTTCAAGGACCGCTGGTTCTTGTAAGTCACCCGGATTAACTTTTTTCTACGGACATTTGACTTGCAAACCCTTTTTTTTCTTTTTTAGAGAGTATAAAGCGGAAAAAGGAAGCTAATGACTGTCCGTTTTTAGTCGGCTATTCTTTGTTGCGAAAACATGGTTGACCAAAAACAATTTTGTACATAAATGTAACAGATGCATTAAAATCCAATACGTAAAATCCTATCCTAAGCAAGTGAAACAGAGTTCTTCGCGCTAATACTATATTTTAAATGTCGATATATTTCCAGGTGGTAACACCACAAGTAAAACTCCTCTAAGAAAGTAAAAGTGTGCTCTAACCTTGAAATTTTTGCTCAATTCCAGGAAGCTTTCAGTAAATATCATTTTAACTATATTGCTGCATTATCAGTCTCATCTAAGTTTGTTTTAATCACCCAGTGCCGCAACAACTGAAGTTAGCCAATCTAAATTTGTGGAACTCGCTATCCCATGTTTATGATGAATGGTACAGTCCCGCCTAGCCAATAAGCTAGCCTTGTCCCATTACCACCTATGTTCCATGTTCATTCAATAGGCCTCCACTAGCAATGAATAACTTAAATTGAAATATGGCACTTTGATTTTTTTTTAGTATTTTTATTGGAAAATAAAGACAAGCCATGCAAGTCTTGTAACCTTATGCGTCTTTTCGTTGGACAAAATCGTTTGACCATCAACCCTTGTTTTGAAATTGTACAATTGCTAAGCTTTACGTAAATGAATTCCCACAGCAGTAGAGTTGAAAATAATACCCATGCACAATGACTGTGAATGAATACGAAGAATATGGTTCGCAAACGAGGCTTGGTGGTGAAATTTGCGTGTGTAACCTCAGTTTGTAATGACAGCCTACATTCTCCACACCTTTTGGTCACGCAGAACAGCCAATTATTTTTTTGGTCACTAATTACGGTTCCAACATAAGCATAGAATTATTATTTGATAAGTTATTAAAACTGTGTAAGGTTTGAACCCAGGAGTCATTTCATGAGTAGGTTGAGCATGATCGTCCGGGTGAACGTGGTCCTCAAAAGGACTGTTGTTGACCGTGTCTATGCTCAAGCGAAGTTTTGGAGCGATTGGAGTGGAATGAAGGTAATTTTTGGAGCTTTTTCTTCTGGCAGCGTAGGGCAGCCCAGTTTTCCCTCGTCTTCTTCTTAGTACGAGAGATACCAAAACTACAAGGTAAAGCTTAAAACTGAAAAAAGGTTTGAACCCAGGAGTCATTTCAAAAGTAGGTTGAGTTTGATCGTCCGGGTGAACGTAGTCCTGAATAGGACGTCTTACTTTAGAAAGCCGTTGATAGTAGTCTGTAGAAATAATATCCTCAACTGACGTGATACAACTCTCTTTGATTCTGAAGATGACTACCGCACAGGTTGTCGAAACGTCAGTCACTGTCAACAACAACAGTCCTATTCAGGACTACGTTCACCCGGACGATCAAACTCAACCTCCTTTTAAGATAAAGCTTGCTAAAATGGCGTTTATAGGGCTGGAAACTGTAAGAAGACTGCACAGACACAACTCTTTATGAGGTATGTACACTTAAATGGCTGCTTATGTGTTTTATCAATCTTACGATAAATTCCCACACAAATCCTTAAACAACATGAATCAACTAATGGATACTTTTCTTAGTTTTTAGTCAACCAATCAAAAAGCAACGCAATGATAAAAGGCTATGACATAATCGACAATTTGTTTGCCCCGCCAATAAAGAAAATACAAAGAGTTACAAATTATCCTCATAGTGAGCTTGTGAAATGGAAAACTGTGATTTAATCTTAAAGCAACTTAAACTTACTGTTAAGCAATTTATTAACATTACTATGAACTAGGATTTGCAAAGGGCCGCCGAATAGCCTATGAAGCATACTTTTAAGTAGCTCTGTCAGTTGAGACATAGTTAGCCCTTAGATTCGCAAAACGCTGGAATCAATTTCTACCGAAAGCATCAACAACAAAGACAGATAAAACTCTTTAACAGCCGTAAAATACCAAAGTAACAAAAAAGAGTATTGCGACCTAGCTAGACCTACAGTTATTTATAAATAGGTTTTCAGTTTGGAATCTAAATTAAAACGTGTTTCCCACCCCGTTAGTTTACACCCTTGCGTAACATATAGTATCTGTACTGGCATTGTCAAAATTGTTAGTAACGGATAAATGATTTTTTTTTTCCAAGTGTTAGAAGAAATATTTGAGTTCTTTCGATATTACGCGACATCTATTTTAATTTATTTGTTATTTTTCTCTGGTAGAAAAACACCTGGCTGCTTTTGCTATATAGCTCCAGAGGTAACGGAGACAGGCTCACCAGATCATTCTCGAGATCAAAAGGTGCATGGACGTCTTGAAGGGATACTTGACGACCGAGAGCTGAAGTGCTAGATTTAGGCCTGGGCTGGAAAGTGGATTAGAAGCCTCCTTGTAACGCATGTGATCTACCGATTTAGAAGCCAGGTTTTGGTATTACTGTTTTTATGGCTCTTTTCATAATTTGAACGAAAGCCCAGATATACGCCATATTTAAGGCCTCTCCATCACATGAGGCCGGTTGAATCACGCCTGGTTTCCAAGATGAGAAAAGGTTAAAGATCCTGGGGACAAGTTCTAGTGCCAAATTCGGGAAACAAAGCAAACATGGCAAACACAAAAATTTTAACTTTGGGGCATATCATAGCTTGGGTGACTTTTAAAGCTGTATCACTGCAGTTAAATGGGATACTTATGATGAGGAAAATAGTGCAGGAAATGCAAGACAATGCCATTCAGACCGCCAGAATTCATCCCGCCGTTCATCTTGGTAACGGAATGAAGTGTTCACATAACAAAATTTCCAGCCTGCTTACCGAGAACTATGGAACTGAGCCAGCCCGCCTGTCATATGAACACATCGAAAATTTTATAAAGTTTTTAGAGGTATGGCGAGATCTCGGAAACCGGGCCAGCCCGGTCAACCAGGCTCATATGAAGAGGCTCTTATACTGTTGAAGGATACTTGTTTGCGTTTTAGACATTGTCATGGTTACCTCTTCTCTATCACTAAGTATTTTGAAGGTCGGCCGGGAAAATAAAGAAGGTTGTCCTTAAAGCTCTGTACAACAGCTCTTGACGACCATTTCAGAGACGATGTACAACTTACTATGAAAATTTTTGATACGGTTATTGCCCCGATACTCACGTACGGAAGCGAAGTCGGGGGGGGGGTGATCACGATCGAAAGTTAGAAAAGGATGCAATAGCGCTGCGCACAGATGACGTCACAAAAACGTGACCCCCACCGAGACTCAGACAAACGTTGGCCATTTCTGCTAGAGGTCGCAAGAACGCTGTATGGAAACGCACAGTTTG